GCTTTTTCACCTTTGAGAAAGTAGAAAAAAGACCACAACTGTGGATGTGCACCAAATCGGTGTTGTAAACGATTATTGTATCCTAAATATTAATAAAAAAAATATATAGTCATTGTTACTTGTAAATAATATTTTGTTTTTGTTTTTAATTACATCTACAAAATATACGTTACCTTCGACACTATTGTTACATCTAAGGTGGATAGGTCCTAAATTCCAATACTTTACTGGTATACGATCAATCCATTGTTTTCGAAAATATTCATTAAATTCAATTAATAACATATGAGATAAAGGTGGATTATCAATTAAATAATCAATAGCAGCACCAACTACAGTATTTCTTACTAATGGTAATGCCATAAAACACTTTAACCAAATTTTAGCTTGTTCATACAAAGTTGATAAACCAGTTTTTCGAATATTTCTATATATACTTTGGATATAATGATACCAACAACCATGAATCGAAATATTAGGAAACTTAAAAAGAAGTAAAAAGAGAATATCAGTCATTTAACGTATAAAAAAATTACTTACTATTTTTTCTAATGCATTAATTGTTCCTATTTCAAAATCTAAATAAGCAGATTTTGGTTCAAAATTAAAACCATAATCCATTGATTTTCTTTGTAAAACTTTAAATATTTTCTTGTAAACCTCTTGGGTTCTTTTTGGTGTAAGACACCATACTAATGGAATAGCTAAATAAAAACACACTCATTTTAGGCTAAGAATAAAAAGCATATATTTACCTTCGTCGAGATGTTGACCCATTATCACATATACCTGGGAGAACATACTTGGACGTATTTTAAACGTACCATCGAGCAGCATCACATCACAACTACATAGCATTTGAATTAAATATTTGGTGGAAAAAATCATTAATCGTCCGCCTAATTTTTTATGTGCTGAATCATAAAGTAAAAAATTTTCCCCTTCGTGTGTTGTTGAATATGAAGCAGGAACTTCAAAATCTAATGATTTTGGATTAGGTGGCAATAATTTTGCGCGAATCTTGTAAAATCTAGAAGCTAAACAAAGAAAATCATGTAAGTCTATATTTTTTCACTTTAGACATCATATTTCATATAAAAGTCAATTGCAGAAGTTTTTCTTACCTTGTGCTTGTGGTAATAAAAAGTGACATCGATCTTCATTGTTCAAATTGTTTTTTATATATTCATCTTCTATTATTCGTGTAACTGGTGTAGGTTCTAATAACACTCTGTCTTTAACTTTTTGTAATACTAATAAACGTTTAGTATGATGATAATTTGGTGGATAATTATGCTCAGCATAATTTGAACCTTTATATCCATTTGAATCAATAGAGATATAAATAACTGAT